AGAGAGAGAGAGAGAGAGAGAGAGAGAGAGAGAGAGAGAGAGAGAGAGAGAGAGAGAGAGAGAGAGAGAGAGGCAGGCTGTTTTCATGCTCCATTTTTGTATTCTACACTGCATCTACAGGATATATTAGGGTCCATTGTAGGCATTCAAAATTAAAGATCTGACATTTGTGTGATGGTTACATGCCAAACTGGATATCGAAGAGGGATGGACTCACCTGATTGAAAGCCAATGCAATGGAGACGGCACCTCTCATCAAACCAGCCCACCAGATGACAACCTGCAACGAGTTATGAAAAACATAAGCACTTTGGGAGGGTGCATCTTCCAGTCTAGGAGCACAGATCGTCATTATCACCTCTTGCACATTGCTGTGTGGCCAAATGGGACACTCCCCACAGTCCTTTGGGAAGTTGTTGAAAAGATAATAAGCATTCAGATCATGTCACGTACAAATAATGTTAGGGGCTGGGGCTACCCCCTTTGCGAAAGTTCCTAAGTGAAGACGAAGGAAAGGACGGGTAGGGGAGTTATTGCTGTCCCCTACCAGAGAGCATAGCATCAAAAATTGAGAGCTCAACTTTGCAACAGTCCTTCGTTTTCTGGAGGCTTCGTTTTGAGTGAATTAGTGAACGTGTGTTTGTGTGTGCCTATAGTAAACAATCACCACAACAACCCATTTTCCACCTGGATTCGTAGATTGCATGGTCGAACTGACCGGCCCCAGGTAAGTCATTCATCCAATTTCGTTCATTCTAGTTCGATATGGATTCAATTTCAAACTCAGCTCTGTATTTCAAGTTTCAACAGTTCATGGGTGTAACTGAGCTAGGCCCATTGGTCTCCACCTGGATTAGTAGATACTAGATAATTATAATATCATAATTGCAATATTCTCGCCATAAAAACGGTCATTTTGATGCTGCAATCTGAGGGCATACTCATGGTCGGAGTTTATCGACCATTCTGGTGATGCAATTAAGGTCATTTACATCCACGGTGTACCAGAATTGTGGTCAGACGCTTCTGGAAAGGTCACAGTGTCAGTATGCTCTAAGTGGTGCAAGGCCAGCCAATTTCGTGTAGTTCAGCGCTGGACGCCTACACGCCAGTTCGCCTTTCCAGCACACTTGCACCTTGTACTTTCTTCCATTCGATTAAGAATGCTCGCTTAATAGTTGTACTCATTCCGCAGTTCTGTCCGTTTTTTCTCTTAATGATGCTCATTCATTTTCACAAACCAATTCTGCACAGGGAACAGGAGTGTGTGTTCTAGACTGTCACCACAACAACCCCTTTTCCACCCAGATTAGCAGATCCGAAATGAAATAGCTTCAACAGTTCAACTCTATATAGCAAATGACATGAAGCCTTCTAAGATGACCAGACTCAGCAGAGCCAAAATCCGGAACAGCTTTACCTCTATAACAAACAACATGAAGCACAACAAGGCGTTGACCCCATTGGTTCTCTTACCACACCGGGACCACAGACCTTCGTCGGATGTTTTTTTTTTTTTTTTTTTTTTTTTAACATGAAGCCTATGTTAGTCCCCGGGTGGCGCGGTCCGGGCAGGGCCCAGGCGGAGTCCCGGGCAATCCCAGAGCATAAATTTTTTAAGAACAGAAAATTAAAAAAATCCGAAAAAAAAAACATTGTGTAAAATTGCAATACAAACGACTTTTGGCTGAGAACCACCTCGAAATTCCTTGTTAATTTTAAGATAAAAATAAATGAGAAACATGACTCCAAAAGTACCCTTTTACGTTTTAACCCCTTTAGTCACTGTTTATAACCCCCAAACCCTTCTGGATGACACGTCACCAAAACCGGAGTTAAGACCGGATTCTGACTGTTTTGGCCAAGCGCACTCCTGGCCTGAAGTCTTTTTTTTTTTTTCTTTGGGATCCTTGCCTCGTCTGGTTTTGCCGGGCGACCCCCCCTCTGCGCAACTGGCCTGGGCTTGCCGGGCCAGGCGTGCCGTACCGGGCGATGGCCCAACATAGCATGAAGCACAATAAAACCGTTATAAGAGGAAAAAAAAAAAAAAGTCGAGACAACACAGCTAAGAAAATTTGACACAACGGTTCACCTCTACGTCCCTTACCTGCCGTCGGAAATCAATCTTATCTGATTCAGATCGTGTGAAATTTGCAACAAACGACAGCGGAAAGATGGCGGCTGCTCTCCCCAATGGCGTGAGCAGAAGCAAGGTGAAGAACACCCCAAGCGCTTGACTGCACAGCACAGCGCCCCCCCCGAAAAAAAACAACGAAGTACAGCCAAAAGGCAGCAGCCACAGCCAAAAAACAAACTGGTTAGTAACACTCCTCAGTATCGAAGCATGGGAAGTGTCCGAAAAGCAGAATGAATTTTAAGATAAAGTAGATGCGCCTAGGAC